GCAATTGTAACTAGTATTTATAACTTCACTACGCCCACAAAAATCTAACGCATTTTTGACACCATAAGCGTAATGTTAAGTAACCACTCTAAATCCATTTTAAAAATTTGCACGGTAACAAATTTGTCCTTTGAGGTTTTTATCAATAGTCACATTTTTTCCATGCTTCTCACACGGCGATGTCTTCCACATGTGATTTGGAAGAACTGTGTTTTAATTTTTACCGTTAATTGTTTGCCAACTATTAGTAATAATAACTGAATGCCAACTAATAGTAGAGTTTGAAAACAAACAACAAGGTTTGCAGGATGCAGCATCAAATAATTTACAGTAACACGACCAGTGTCATGGCATTTATCTGTACTTCTTCACGGATTACAATATACTGGACTAAAATGTCTTATTTCCTTGTTTGGTATCTTTTAGAAATGGGACAGCACGTTTTCTTTAAGTTCCGTCAAATTAATTAGAAATCTTCCCACATCATCAAAAATATTTTTACCTAATTTATTTTACTTGTCATTTTAACTGTATCTGCTAATGTGCGTAACTGCAATTTTAACTGTATCTGTTTCTTCTGTATGTTTATACTAGTAGAGATAACTTCAGCCTATAATATAGTTTATTGTTCAGGCTGTTCAACTTTACTGGCAGAGACGATATCCTGTTCCTGGGTATGATGTTTTAACAATTTTTTCTAACTTTTGGAGTTTTTCTGTTTTTTCTGTCTGATCTTTTTTCTTTTCTTATTTGGGCTCGACTCTTTTGTTTTTTCTTATACATTTTATATAATATAATATAATATTTATTAATTTTCTATAATTATTTATATTTCTTACCCAAATTTTTATTTTCCATCCAACAACTAATAAAACAGTTTTTAAGATTTGGCAGAACTAACTATAGCACACAGCTCTATAGGACGCGTGGGCTTAGCTGTTTTGGTTGCCTCTTTCTTCAAATACAAATGCACTATATAACCAAAATTAGCCTATTTGGTTTATCATAGATGTCTCAAATCACAGATAAAACTGTTATAAACTATTTGGTTTGTCATAGATAATCACTGAAATCACAGATATCTTAAAAATAGTGAACTATAATTTTATGAATTTTAGTAGAACGATACTTAGTATCATAACATATAAATACAAAGGAAAATATTTAAGAGCCCTACATATGATATAAAACTGTAACATAAAAAAATAAAAATGGTAATAACATGTTACAAGGAGAGTTCAAGGGAAAAAGAATAAATAGGGAAAAAATTAAGGCGTACGGAATTTAATACTGAGCTTCACATGGAATCAACCCTATCTTGTACATACATAAGACAATGTGTTTTCGTGCTGGCAATAACGTTGTTAACCACAATTTTGGATTTAATCTCCTGTCCTCCATGAATGAGGTTTACAAGGCATATAAATCTCTAAAAGGCGGATGTCTGTGCGCAACTTCTTTTCCAATGCAACCTCCTAAGTTCTCTATCGGGTTAAGATCAATAGATTTTTTTGGTCACGGTATTTCTCTCAGTATTTTCACTTTCAAGGATATTCGTCATTGCTCGAAGTGGATGAGAATTATTGTCCATAAATAAAATTCACGTCCTCTGAAAAGTCTCACATAAGGTTCTAAAACTTTATCTCGATATCGCTGTTCATATACTACGTGATCCTCTATCGAAATGTATAGGGACGTATTTTCATCAGTCATTATTCCTCTCCATGCGATCCCACCTGCATTACCGAAAGTGCCACTTTCCATAATGCTCGAAAGAAGACTTCGCGCTCCGGACTCCCTCCAGATGTAAACACATTTAGAATCAGATGTTAGACTAAACCTCAACTTATCGCTAAAGAGAACATGGAACCATTGGTGTTCACTTAGATTCTCATGTTCTTTGCACCAATTAAAGCAATTCATCTTTTCTTAAGACAGGGATGCACACTCCCTTGGCATTCTGATATAAAGTCTTTTTTCATGAAGCCTTTTATACATGTCAATGGTGACCAAACTTCATGTCAGTAAGAGCCGAATGTTGAAATTCAGAAAAGTCTGAGATCGGTAACTAGACATTCCATAAGCCACTAGTCCATATTTATATCCTTTTAAAAGTAGGGAAACAAGTTTCAAATGGAAAGAAATGTCTGATTTTAAACAATCATTTAAAATCAGACATTTCATATCAGACATAATAAAACATGTCCGGGCAGTTTACCTTCAGTATGCGATGATGAGTCAAAGTCAACACAAAATTTTGTGGTGTCTTTGGGTTCTCTAATTATAGCTTGATGCGTAAAAAGTACTCTTTTTCAGTTTTTGAATACTCCGATCTTTCGCGATACTTTCTTGTGAATGTTGATCTATCGCAGCGATTCGTAATGCTCTTGAAACTTCGAATTATTCTTAACAATGTGACACAGCAACTCAAATCGTTTTTCTGCTCTCTCGAAATTCTCCCGTAATTACCCGCATGCTCGTTCCATGGCAAGTATGGCTCTTGTCTCCAAATTTTACGGATTTCTCGAAATCTTTTACAGGCAGCGTCATCCCTTAAGCTATGACTGTCATCAGATTTATTATAAATTCTCAAAGCTTCCAATTGTCGAAAATTGCTTACCATTCGAGCGTCAAATGAACCTCTAAATTATTTTTAACTTGCATCAAATTCTGTATGAAATGTTTCTTATGCAATACACGCGTTTTCTGTTCCGCTCTAAGACCACACGAAATTAGTTTCTACCGATACTAATCATTCAGAAATTTGGGAGATCCTTCCTGTAAAATATCCACAAATATCAATCCATCAGTTCGTAAAGCATTCACAAGTAAATCTAAATTTTAAAGATTTTCTTTACAGAGTTTTTGATAGTATCCGTACAGTGTTTTATTTTTATTTATTTTTAATGCTGTCGAATAGCATTATTAAGTTTCTTAACTAACAAGAAATGGAATGAAACAATTATGGTTGCATCCTGACTAGTTTCAGTTCTAATAACTTTGTAAAAATAAATTAATTAATTACTTTCTTTTGGACACTGAGTAGTTATAATTTATCATATCTCACATTTTATTTGCATAAGAGCGACATTACTCTCCTGCGAGAGCACACACGTGGCTCGCGAGCCGCGCTATGGCCACCATTGATATATAGTTTGCCGAGCTACAGTAGTTCCAATGGCGGCTGTAAGCTCTGAACTTAGCTTCCGAGAAGTAAACTTCCTGCCGCGATGGCACAGAAACGAAAAGGTTGCTAACTGCATTCCGACAAGCACGGGCTACTTATAAAAAAGCAATTCTAGAAGCCAAAATCAACAGCTGGCGCAATTTTTGTACCAGCAATAGCAATCCTTACGGAATCCTGCATAAACTGGCCACGCAGAAAATCTTCCAGCCGGCACAAGTGCCAGTGCAGCCAGGGAATCTACCACAAACAATTGACTTAGCAGGGTCCACGGCCACAGCACTGCTTGATGCAATCTTCCCAGCGGATCCAGAACAGGATGACACGACGGCCCAGCGACTTTTGAGAAACTCCACAGAGATCCCAAGAACGCCAGAAGATGTCCCCATTACAATGCAGGAAATCACTCACATCTTCCGCCATCTACCACTGAAGAAGGCACCGGGTCCGGACGGACTTGATTATGCAATCTTAAAGGTCGCCTTCCGAGCACGGCCCACCTTCTTTCGCCTCTACTTCAATAAACTCCTGCACCACAGAGTATTTCCACAAGCTTTCAAGAAGGGACACGTGGTACTTTTTCTCAAAAAAGATAAGAACCCAATAGACCCCTGCTCCTTTCGTCCGATCTGTCTCCTTTCAGCGTTGGGTAAGATCTATGAAAAGATCATAGTTAACAGGCTGAAGTATCATATTCACAAAAACAACTTCCTCAGTCCCAAGCAATATGGCTTCCGTTCAGGTTGCTCAACCACACATGCCCTTCAACGAATATATGATGAAGTCCAGCTTAATCGCTCACAGAATCTTCAGACTGCATTCATCTCAATAGACCTCCAGAGCGCTTTCGACACCCTTTGGTGGCCCGCCATCAAGCAGGCCCTCAGAGAGGCGCAATGCCCGGAGAACATCTACCAAGTCTTTGAGAGTTATCTCACAGATAGGCAATTACTTATGGCAAACAATAATGGCATTGTTACTAAGACCCAAGTCAGAGGCTGCCCACAAGGGTCCTGTGCAGGGCCCTTGCTCTGGAACCTGACATTTAACAAAATCCTCGAAGCGACGTGGCCTGATCACACAACTATCATTGCATATGCTGATGACGCGGCTCTCCTTGTTAAAGGTCGCACACGAGACGAAATTGAAGCCAATGGCAGCGAAGCGTGCGCCAAGTTCGCAAGCCTATGCGAAGACCTTAAGCTGAGGATTTCTATCACCAAGTCTTCTGCACTCCTCATCCCAAGACCGGGCACGAGGCCTGTACGTCGTCCCTGTATCCGATTACTTGGCCGCAACATTAAATTCATGGATACACAGAAGTATCTAGGAGTGGTCTGGGACTCTGGCTTAACATGGGTGCCACATTTGCAGCAACAGAGAGCAAAAACCTCCGCTATAGCCAGAATGACACGGAAATTTCAAGGAAGGAATTGGGGACTAAATCCCCACATTCAAAAAGTGCTTTATAGCACGGTGGTGGAAAAGATTGCGCTGTACGCAGCTGCAATCTGGGCTCAACCGATGACAACGAGGAAAATCAAGCAGTTAACATCACTCCAACGCCCTTTTGTCATAAGCATCTGCAGGGCATACTGCACAACAGCCACGAGCTCCGCCCTTACTCTAGCAGGTATAGTCCCTCTACACATCCAGGCCGAGCTAGAGGCGACATATACGAGAGTCCTTCACTTGAGGAAAGATGCCTCCTTCGCAGGTACTCGGTACTCTCTACAGTTCAGCACTTTATGAGCACCCCAAGACACCGCTGCACACACATCCAGCGCATAAAGGACTAGGGGTCCACACCCACATCATGCAACAGCCCAACAAGGAAATACAGCACATCAGCAACCATACACTTTACACTGATGGTTCTAAACATGCTGAAGGCGTTGGCAGTGCTTTCCTGCACTGTTGGCAAAGCCAAGAATTACATCATTGGAAAGGCCACCTAGGTGACAGCAATAGCGTCTTTCAGGCAGAAGTGATAGCAATTACAGCTGCTGTTGAATATCTAATAAGCCGAAAAATCTCAAAAGCTTATCTCTATACGGATAGTATGTCTGCCTTGCTGGCCCTAAGCAAACACAACCATGTTTCCCCGTTGATCATCCGCCTTCAAAAACTCTTAAAAGATAACCCACAGGTACACGTGGACATGACGTGGGTGAAAGCTCACGAAGGCAATGCAGGTAATGAGGCAGCGGACGTGCTCGCCAAAGAGGCAGCCTCAAACATCAACGCACGTCCCATCGCTGTTCCGGCGCCACCTTCCCATCTTAAAAGACTGCTGAAAGGCGCAGCAGTCCAGTGGTGGCAAAGAGTATGGGAACATGGAAACACAGGAAGAAGAGTGTATGGTTTTCTACCGATGGTGACAACGGAGAGACTCATAGCAAACGCTCCACTTACTAACTTTGTAACTGGGCACGGTCCCTTCCCGGACTACTTCAACAGACGCACTATTTCTAATACGGATCGCTGTGTATGCGGGGAAGAGGGGACACCCGATCACTATATCTTCCGGTGCCCACTCACAGAACAGCACCATTTCCCGGAACCCACGAACATACCTGCCTTCCACAAGTTTATCCTTAAAAATAAAGCGGCAATCAACACAGTGTGCAAAATCGTTAACACCATTAAGGCCTACGGCCAAGACCTTTGCCTCCCATTATAAAACAGTGCTATTCATAATGGTCTCAGTGACTGCATTCTGCCTTAACAAACTGTGCAACAACACATACTGCATGCTGTATACCGCTAGTGTTTCACTTGTGGGTATTGCGTACATTCTGCGCAATGTGCCTAGTACTGCCACTGTAAAGTACTTTCCCTGAAACTATACTGAACTGCCACTATAACTGTGCACCTTATATGTTTTATGTGTTTAATGCAATGTGTGTGTTTAACGTAATGTTTATATATGTTTTTATGCTGTTTAATGTCGTATTGTGTGTACTTTGTATCATTGTACTGTTATGTTTTGTATATTTTGTGTTGAACTGTGTTTTCTCTATGTATATTTATTTGTCATGTATTTCAAATGTGTGTGCTTAATTATGTATCATATTAATGTGTAATGTGTAGTTGTTGCGTCTGGATAGGGGAGGGTTGGGACATATGCCTGTTTACCTCTGTTAGACGCCAGACCCCGTCCTCCGTCACCTGTCACCTGTGTGGGTATTCTGTGTATATATCCATTGTACATAAATCTTTAATGCACTATCTTCTGTTTTGTATTCTGTTAATACCTTTGTATACGTATTCCGCTCTGTATATCACATTTTTAGTGTTGTGTACTATTTCTAAAGTTGCATCATGTTTCATGTATTTTATCAATGTATTCCGTGTCTCATGTATTGTATCATGTATTTTGTCCTGTATTTTATCAAGTATCATGTTTTTACTAAGCTTTTGTTCACTGTCTGTACACCCTGTAGTAAGTATAGAATCTCTAGATACCTCAGTATTCCCAATATACAACACTATCATGCATTGGCAATATGCTTAAGTTTATGTATTGAGTGAAGAGTATTGGCATCTAATTACGCCTTATGTTTATGTGATTAATGTGTTGTTTTCTTTTTTTTTTTTTTTTTTTTTTTTTTTTTTTTTTTTTTTAATTTAAGACCCTTTCTCTTTATGTCTTGCACTTGACTATTTATGACATGCTAATGTAACCTGAACTGCAATGTAACACAATCACTCATCTGCTCTTGTTGCACTGTAAATACTTTTATTAATTTAAAGTTGCTGCTTCTACACAGGGGAAGGCGTGGGACATATGCCTGTTTACCACTGTTAAACACCAGGCGTCCCCGTCTTCCGTCACCTGTCACCTGTCACCTGCCGCGATGGCAGTTATTTCCAGACATCGATCTTGAGAAGCAGTTGTTATTCGTTTGTCCAGCCCTTCTCACAATAGTTCTAGAGCTCTGAATTTATTTCCATAGCGTAGAGAGTCACAACGGTAACAATATCTTACAGTGTTGTCTGACGTATTCCCTGATGCTAGATATGCTGGGACGCGAGACAATACCACCTATTCTCCTGATACAATGATAGTGTCTCCGTCTACCGTCAACTGCTTGCATGATTGTTTGCTCTGCTACAAAACAGCCGTTGATTCACCGTTTCATAATTTCTTTCAAACGATACTTCGGACTCATTACAAATCGTTTTGAATCCTGATGCTGTTGTTTTTGTTGTTGCTTAGGTTCACTTGTCTGACTTAGTTGGCACAAGTACACGAAATTCCTCGTGGCAAGGAGCGCAAGATTACGTCTGTCGTTGGCAGCAGCCTTGAGCACCTCACAGGTGATAGTGCGATTTGCTCAGTTCCGTCCCCAATTTTGATGGAGAGCACCCCGGGGGGGGAGACGGGTCCAAGGGTCCACATGAGAGGACTTTCGTCTGGTCGCCGCATATTTAAAGTGCCGCCAGGCCGCACCGACACTTTACAAACATCCATGCCTTCTCCGGGATTCGGAACCCGGGCCCTTCGGCACAGCAGTCAGCGCTGCTAACCACTACACTGGTTGGGGGGTATTTTGAATACTTAAACACAGAAATCGTCTGCCGTATTGCAGAAATTCACTCGAATATTCACTTCGCGCAAAGTGCTTGATTCACCGTCAGGAAACGTAACGCCTTGATTTGTTTGTCAGAAACCGCTTAATCACTTTTGATAGGGTTATCCTAATCAGGCTTATCTTTCACACAATCGTTACATAAATGGATTACGTCGATTGAATGTTTCACGAAACATTATCATCTTCTGGTATGTAAAAGATAATCTGGACATGAGTGTATTTGCATGTCTGTAATTAAGTTCGATAGTAATCGTTTTTTGTAGTTTAAAGGTAGTTGCTGTAATGACAATAAAATTAAAGGCCTTAAAATATTTCTTTCTATGCAACATCAGTTATATACAAACGTATAATCTATATCGAAGCTGTCAGATGAAATATATAAATTCATAAATTAACGAAAGAATGAAAAAATCAGTTTATTGCAAGCACTATAAAAGATAAATGCTTAGGCGCTTCAAATTAAAAAAAATGTGTACATTTATTTATAAAATTTGTACTTAACGAATTATTTAATTTACATTAGCATGCAGTTGCAAATTTAAGATGATTAATTCTGCTTCTTTCGCAGAGCCTCTTGTGTGCAAATTGTAATACAATTTAGAATCACCGTTTTAAGAAGCGACGTCATGGATAAAGTGATTATGCTAAAGTCATGGCTAAAGTGTCAACTACTAGACACATGACAACTGAATTGGCAGTTTCCTATGGGGTAGACACCCAATGATAACCACTGATTTTATTTCTCTAGTCTGGTATAAATTAATGCTTAATTTCTTTTCAGTGAATGAACAGGAAAAATTTTGAGTTTATCGCAATTTTTAGATCTCCAAATATGCCATAAATGCAATTTCTTCTATTGACGGCTCAAATGATTAACATATGACTATTACACTTTTAATGAGAATTTCAGAATTAAAAATTAGGCAAAAAGGCAACTTAGTTTGAAACAGATTTTGAATAAAGTTATATCGATATTGATTGAGACCAGACAAAAGTTCAGGAACAACGCCCTCGAAATCGGTAAAGTTTTATTCAAAATATGACAAATTAAATTTGTTTTTTTACCTAATTTTAAATTTCACATTAGCATCTTTTTCTTTCGGTTAGAAATTTAGAAATTAAATTCTTTCCTTAAGCTTCCTTTCTGCCGAGTTTCTGGTACCTAATTTAAAATTTCACACTGGATTATTTCTCTTCAAAACAGAAATTTAAAAGTTAAAATCTGTCTTTCCTTTTTGCTCAATTTTTTTCCTGAACAATATTCATATTTCATTGCGAAGTTTACAAATACCATTACTAGAAGCTCTGGAATTTTATTATTAGGGAGAATATATGCTTTCTAATATATTTAGTTTTTCTCAAATTAGATTGAACACGAACAGAGGATTCAAAAGTTTTTTTCCACAGTCAGATTTTACGATGTATTAGGTGCATGCTTCAGCTACGACCAGAAACGTTTTTTTCTAGAATACTTTTGCAATACAGGAAATTGATCCAGGACGGAAGAAACTCCATACCATTGTTTATGTGAACATATAAATATATTTATTGATAACGCATTTCAAGTTAACTTAGTTTATGTCTGGCTTGTGCCTTTCTTAGACGTAGACTGTGTTCTTACGGTAGTTAAAGAGTAAATACAAAATTATGTTATGATTTGTGCAGGGAAACATAAGGAAAGGAAAGGAAATTCAATAATTTTTTAAAGGAAACTCAAAATGACAGTGTGACTGTGAGTTAACAATATAATTGCACAGGAAATAAAGCATGTGACTTCAATAATAAAATTTCACAAACCGAATTTTACAAAAATTCTTCAGCTTTAAAGAACAAACTAGAAAAACAAATACTACTTTTTTTGGCGGTGGGTCAAAAATTGCTTACTTTATTTTCTGCATTTTGAAGCACTTAGAAATTGTGAATAGTCGTTAAATTGACGCTGAAACCACTCTGCGAAATTAGATGGAAATGAGACCCTAAAATATTGAATTGTGAGTTTGAAAATTTTAAAAGGAAACCCATATGTTTCAGGGAGACATTTAGTCTGATAAAAGAAATCACTGCATTTAAACTTTCTTTATATCTTGTGATCTATGCAACGTTCTTAATCATGTCAATAAAATTTATAAAGCAATTTAAAAGAAAGTCGTAATTAGCCATTGCAGAAACGTTATCTGTTATTGAAAATTTCAAACAAAGCTATAAAAAAAGCAAATATATGTAATGGAAGCTTTACATATTTAGGCAGTTATATCAATTTATTGATAACAAATGTAGAATTTTGTAAAAGAGGTTTCCTTTTAAAGCAGGGATGAGCGCAATTTAGGGAAAGAAAGTGTTTAGATTAGAGTTTTTTATTACGCCTGTATTCTATTTGGCTATAAAAAATTACATAATTTTGAAAATTTCAATATACAAAATTTATTGCATAAGTAGGTGCTTGTACTTTTAATTGCGAAATATAATAATTAGGGGTAATAACGTATGTAGTAGTCCGAACATAATATTAAAAAATGCAATTTAAAAGTTGTAAGGCGTCAACATGTTACAGATTGTGTTGAGCCCCAATATTATTAAAACAGACTCTGTCTATGTTCCTTATTTCAGTAACGAAGAACGAAATATAATGAAACAATATAAAAATTTGTATTGGCAATAATTACTTAAAAAGTAAATCTTTTATAAGAGACCAGAATAATACATTTAAATTTAAAGCGGCCAGTAGACAGCATTGGCTCATATACATTTCGTCAATGCAATATCATAATACATGCGCGTTAATATCAGTGAAGGCTTTTTATTTTCATGTCATGAATCTGATATATAAACTGCTACTTAAACATCTCAAAACTGCTCATTTTGAATATATTAATCTCAAACTTTCTTATTTCAGGAGTCAAACTTTAGTTCTAGATGGCAGATGCATATTTATAACACTTTTTTTGAAGAAAAATATTATATCTATTTAAAGTTTGAGTGACATTTGTATTTAATGATTTATAAAATTTTAAATTGCATTACCAAGTATGTCCCGTAGTTGCTGCAATAGTAATAATAGAGGTTTAAGTAAACTGAAAACCACCAA